ACTACATAACATTCAGCTTAGTGATTTTCTTTAATGTTTGCATCCTTGACAACTAAAAATGATTATGGAACTTCAAAACAAAACAAAAAAACTTAGGCCTACTTAAGGCTTAAATAATAATTAAAAACATAGTAAACAAGATTCCTTATTTACAGATAGTATGGATAGTGGCCATACTGATCGTTTATTTAATGCTGGTCTGAAGTAAGGAAAGTCCAGGACACAGGAAGAAACAAGAGCACCTTTTAAGAAAGGAAAGGAAAAGGAAATGATTAGCTGATAGCCATAAAATACCTGGGGAAAGTAAATCTGTGGTGGCTACATTTATAAAATCAGTGAATCACAGATCTGGAAAATGCAGAAAGCAACGTAGCCCTGTCCCCAAGGATAAGGTACAACTTATGATGTCACTAAAATTCATGTTTCCTGGCTTGTAACCTGGAAGGCTTGTATTGTCCCCCTCAAATATAAAGTGAGTATTACATCCATGAGAGTTCTTGTCTGACTTGGAAATACAAATTCAGCCACAAGAACAGAGAGTGTTCTTTAAATTTAAATCTATTCATAGTCAAGTATAATAAAAAAATAACAGCCCATTGTAGTCCAGTCTTATATCAATCTAATATAGTGTACCCAACACTGTTTTGCCCATTTAGAATTTTCAGGTGATGGTAGGGAATGCGGGAGATTTTTCTGAGAGCTCTCTAAAAATACTTGTACTGTAATTAGTGATCTATTCTTAAATTATTACTGTTGTTATTTGTTTCATTTCTATAGTGCTTTATACTTTTAAGAAGAAGAAGAATCTCAAAGCAGTTTGCAACACATTAAAACATCAAATAAAACAATCCAGAACAAAACATTACTGAAGAAAGTTAAATATATAGTATACATTCAAAGCAACATAATCAACAGAAAACTAAAACGTTATCTTAAAATTTTCAAACTAAAACACTACCCTTTCACCTCCACTCTCCCATTTTATTCATTGATATCCCACTTCGCTTGAAAAAACAATGGTGGCATGTGCGGGTCTCCCTTTCCCCATTTTATCCTCACAATGCTTCTGTGAGGTAGGATAGGCTGAGAGGCAGTGATTGGCCCATCGTCACCCAAATGAGTTTCTTGTCTGAGTGGGAATCTGAATTCTAGTTTTTCAGGCCCTAGTCTAACAGTTGTACGATACAGAAATGTTCCTGTCTAGCAGGATTTCTACCCAATGTGAGCAGTTGCAAGGATGCGCAGAGCCCCAAGTCTAACCAAAACTCTTTTACTTACTTACGCAGCATTCCAATATAACTCTTTCACAAGTACCATTGCACACAGACATATTGTGCTACCATCATCCTGTTCCTTTTAGATGTGGTAGTCCCTGTTGCCCTGAAGGGATAAACTGAGTTACGCAGAGAGAGAGAGTGAAGTACACAGCGATAACAGCAAGAACCTTTATCGAACTAACAGAACTGAACCACAGGGGCAAAGCAACTGCGTGTATACATTTCTGAAGGCCTGGGCCACGTGATTGGCTGTCTAAACTCCCAAGCTGCGAATCATGACTCGCAGTTTAAGGGCCAATGCAGAGGCCCAATTCCTGAAATGTTCTGTGATTGCATATCATGTATTCAGGGGCTCTGAATCCTTAGTCCAGGCTCAGGCTCAGGCAAACACAGGCTGCTGAATACATAACAGAGAGGAAAAAGCAACTCAGGACAGATTAATAGAAATCACAAGATCTCCTTCATAAATGTAGCCATCTGCCTATGCAGCTTGAAAGTCAGTAAGTCTCACAGTCCCTCCCAATCCAGCCCAAGAAATTGGGGCACAATTACTTTAAAAATTTTTTTGACTTCTTCTTTTTTTAAAGACCATGATTTTAATTTTAAATTTTATATTTTTGTAAACTTAGAGGCTTGTTTGTTTGTTTTTTTACAATCAAACAGTAATTACATTTTGTTAAATGCAAAGAAAAACGAATGAATAGTTGAAATACTCTGTTATTCCAGTATCCATTGCTGTCTATGGAAAAGTCTCCCTGTCTATCTAATGAGTTCACTTTCACCATTATAGGCAGCAACTCTGGAGCATGGCTTCAATGCAAAGGATGTATTTTGTGAGATGGAATATAGGAAAGGGAGTAAGAATCTCCATGCAATTCTTTCCCTCTTCTTTAAATGTATTGTTATGATTTTTTGGGGGGCATTATATTTAGAGCCTTCTAACCCCTGGATCCAATAAGTATTAAAATATAAGGCAGGCTAGCTTCCTGATGAGGTATTGGGTCTGGTTGATGGGCCAATAAGAGGAACAGAGGAAAGGGCTTGTGTGCCAGATGGCAAATGAATGGGTAGGGGGCCCTCTCTCAACTCACGAATAGTTAGAGTTGAAGGCAGAGAGTTTGGAATGATGCGGGCTAGAAGCAAAGCAGCAAGCTGAATAAAGTGTCAGAGAATTGTTTGAATCCAAGGCTGTGGCTATGGGAGAAACAAGACCCTTTTGGGGTGTTAATGCTGTAAAGCCCTCCATCATAGGTTCAGATCGTATATATGTATATAAACCATATATTATAAAGACACCACAGTCTCCACTGTGACTCATTCTGAAGGAAACGCAAATTCTGGGTAAGCACCTGGAACCCCTGGAATCTTACACTGCTCGGAGATTGGGGTGGCATGCAACAATATTGTGCCCATTGTAACCTTCACCAGAGCCTTGGGTTCTAGAATGCTTCCTCTCCCACCTGCTTGTGTAATTCTTGTGAAGGGAGATCCTATGGCACATATATTTGACAGCTGAGTTTCTAAGCATATTCATCTGCAGCTGTAGCGGAAAACTGCCATAGACTAAAAAATTAACAAGATGGTAATAGGACCCATGGTATTTATATATATATATATATAAAAACCAGAACTAAGGTGTAAGCTACATCTGCTATCATTATTGTAATCTTTTCCCCCCCAGAAAAGCAAACCACGTCAGAAGGACAAAAGACAGTACAGTGTGGAACGTGGACAAAATACCCAGAAGGAGGCATCTTCACTTCTCCCAATTACCCCAACAAATATCCTCCTGAGAGAGAGTGTGTCTACATTATAGAAGGTGATTACCCAAGTCCTTCATTCTTAAATTACACTTTTTTCATAATTAATGTATCTTCTTCTGTAATATCTACCTTTGGATAATGACAGTTTGGTCAAATGTGGTTGCAATCCTATACACACCCAGGAGCAGGTCCCATTGAATGCTATTAGGCTTACTTCTGAGTACACACACACACACAGTACACTGAGTACACACACGCTTCTGAGATACACACAGGCCTGTGTTGCAAAAAAAGCAGTGCTTTGGTTGTATTTATTTTTAATTAAAGACTTAATAAAGCGGGAGGGGGTTTATTGGTAGAGGAAAATAGCCATCTTCTTGGGCCTCGGTCATTACTATGCTTTCACAGCCAATTATAAAAGAAAAGAAAAGCTATATTATGGCAACTGTTGGCTTTGTCTCAGCCTTGTCTTTCTTTCTCTGCCTGAAGATAGTAAGAGAGCACTGGAAACTGCCATATTCAAACAATTTACACAGTCAAGCACATATAGTACCATGCAGTGGCAGCTTCCAATCTGTTACTCACTCTCTTTTGGCCAACAGAGAGTACTGCTAAAATAAAAAGATTAAACACTGAGAGTAACAGCTGCTATACTTCATTTCCAGTAGGTGATACATGGGATGGCAATATACTTACTAGTCTTTCTCATCTCTCTTGTTGCCTTATTGACAGATAAAAAAAAATATTGAGTCTAAAATGCTAGTTTATCAATATAAATTGCTTTTTTAAAAGAAAAGAAAGAGTATCACTGTTTGTAAGAAGAGTATCTCTTATTTCCTGGGGCCAGTCTGGAAATGACTGATTATAGTGATCTACAAATAGATGAACAGAACTAGGCGTATTGGGAAAACAGAAGTATCAACAAATGTTAGAATGAATTCTGAGAACACGGATCACTCCTGATGCCTATTGTCCAAGTCCCCACATTGTTCAAAAAATTTAAAAATCCTGTAGAGTAAATGAAGCAACTGATAATTCAGTTTTTCTATATTATAATTCTTTCTTTAAGGTAAGCCACCATTTAGGGCCCTCATAAGCTGACTTCCAAAAAAGAAGCCATACAATTCAAATCAAACAACATAAATAAGTCAACCATCATTAAATTAATAACATGTATTTAAACTTAAATCTAAGAAAATGCATCATGAATAGCTCAGTAATAAACTGTCTGCATGAGATATGATGCAAGATTTGTATGCTTTACACGTCATCAGGAAAGCTGAGGCAATATGTTAGTTGTAATATCTTTCTATATAATAAACGTGAGTGACTGCCAGGGTTTTAAGTTTCAGAATACAAGAAACTAATCAGTAGGCCCTCAGGCTGAGACTGTTTTAAAAGAAGAGTCTGAAAGCCTTCAGCTTGCTTCAGTGGAGATGAAGATCATATGATTACCTAGATATTTATGCCTGGAGGAAGTAAAGTTTTATAAACAGACAAAAAAACAACAAAAAAACCCAAGTAGTGATTAATCTACATTTCTTCTGTAATGGGAGTCTTGGGAATAGGGAAATACTTAGATCAAGGGTGAGAAATTGTATACAGTACAATAATTGCAGTGCTGCATAAGACCAGTGGTCCACCTGGCACCCAACTTTGTTTAACCACAGTGGCCTGAAAGAGATTTCAGGTCACATGAAGGGACTAACAGTTCTATCTAAGATTTGGTGTTAATCTGTAGTTAGGGGTAGGCTGTTGTTCTAAACATAAGAGGTTGCAGTTTTAGCTTCAGTGGCCAAAAGGCACTGACAGACTTGTCCACCATGACATTCCAAAATTCCAAAATTTTGGCATTCACAGCATCTCCAGTCACCCTTGAGCTCTGATTGGGAGACATCAGTTTCCATATCTAAAGTGCAAGTACCATGATATGATGAGTACCTTATTTTACCCTTTGACTTTGCCAAGCCCAATAATCAAGGACCGTTTTTTTCATTCCGAAAGTTACCATTCACACACTATAGAACTTGAACCTATAATAGACAGACTAGAGAGCATGAACAATTTAGAAACCATATCTCATACCCCTGCTTCAACTCTAGTAATTATCATCATTATTATCATTATTTACCCCTTCCTTTGGTTAAATAGTGCACTTGACATTTTACTTCTTTTAATGCAGATTTTTGAGTACACCATGTTTTGAACATTCCTCAGATGATTAGGGTAAATTAGGATATATAATTTCATATTCATCTTATATAAAGCCCAATGGACAGCATTGCATTGATCTTATTAGATGAAGGTCTGGTGGTGTGTGTGTGTGTGTGTGTGTGTGTGTTTAGAAATATTCCTGAAAGAAAAACTGTGCAATACACAAAATTGCAAGATGGTAATTGAATGGAAGTTATCATTTCCCATAAATAGTGTGGTATTAAGGCCAATACTGAATGCTGAATGTGGCTGGGTTTTTATGTTGTAAAATACATAATATGCCTAGATTCAGGGCAATTTTACACAGTTCTTGGCAGCATATTCAGGTTTGCCACCAAGTGTACCAACAGGGAGCTGCAGCCACATGTGTTTGTGTGATACAGGCCTTTGATGCTTCTAGACAGAAAGCATCTTAGTTGTACTAGGAAAAATATGTAACATGTGTAGTGGACCTTTCCCCTACAAAAAATGGGGAAAGAAATGTAGGGTTGTATCATTCAGAATATTTTATGTATGCTTGGTCATTCTTTTCCACTTAAATTCTTGTTTGTTATCATAAACAGTGAATGCTTTAAAACTGCAGTAGCAGCCACAAATTAAACCTTCCACTCTGCACATTTCTATAATGTGGATGAACTTGATGTATTGGGCTTGATGTTCTATAAGCCATGCAAAATTAGCAGCAGCATTCCATTGAAGACCATCTCCATTTTTGTAAAGCTAATAACATTTTTCTTCTTCCTTTGTAACACTATCTGTGTTGAAGAGCAATGATATTTTGCTGTTCCAAAGCACATCTATATAATTATCTGCTTGAGTAATAATATTCACTAATTCCATTCACATTCCTTGTATTCATAATGCATTCTTCAAAGCCAGCAGAGAATATCCGTTTGAAAGAAAAATGACCCTAGCTTCCTCTGTTCAATTGCTGAGCAACTGGAGATATCAAGGATTATTCCAATCCATTAGTAGGGAACCAGCTCACATTTATGAAGGGGAGATTTTTAGATCAATCTCTCCTTTCCAGACATTCTGTTAAACTGAAACAGATTTTTTGCTTAGCTTCAGCTGTCAGCTACATGAAATTACAGGCTGGTAAGAATTAAAGCCTTAATTGTATGGGGCTATTTCACTGCAACTGTTCCTCTGCTTCTAGTTAGAACCCAAAGCCTTTTTAAGCAGATGTAAAACCTCAAGATGGCACTTGTATAAGATAATTAGATGAAAAAGATGACAAGACATGCAAGCATTAAGCAGTCTTTCCCATGTTATTAGGAGTCTTTGAAGAAAGGTAATTAGAACCTAAATTAAAAAGATTGCTAAGAGTTCAAGTAGTAAAAGCTCATCACAGAATGGCTGCACTATATAGCCTTTAAATTTTGTAGCAACATTTCCTTGCATCTTAGGCTTTTACTTTTGGTACAGAACTCAGCCCCCTGACCCCTAAAAAAAAAAAGGAACTTAAATAGACTTCCTCAGCCACAGCAAACTATATCAGCCAATAATATGTCTCTTTGAGGCCATGCAGCTCTTACTTTCTTCCTTTTCTCTCACCAAAGTTATGGAGAAACAACAATAAGGTACAATGCAAGTAAGGTGCAATTACAATTGGTTCTTTTGTAACCTCTGTGGTTGTTAGCACATGAACAGCTCAATATCATCCTGGACTGCAAGTGTTGTATTACAAGCAGAGACATCCACTGCAGTAGCAACTGCAGGATCCTATGAGAGACAAGCTGGGGAAAGTTGGACAGCTCTTTCAACTACTGCTTAAATAAAGAAAAGAAAACTGCTTGCTTAAGCTTTCAGCTTGAGCAGCCAACTTGTGATTTTAAAAAGTGCCTGATCTCTGGGTGCAGCCATGGCCAGAGTTAGAAAGTGCTTGATCTGTGACAGATCAGGCAGCAGAGTCTGGTGGTTTTGTAAGGCCAGGAGAGAAGCATCAGAGGTCCAAGACCAAGTGCCACCCCCACTTATAAAAGCTACAGATAGTTAAAGGCCAAAAGCCTGGTTACAGAGGGAAGTTTTTGCCCCTAAAGATATAGAGTGATGGCACTGGTGAGCCCCTTTGGGAAAAGCATTCTACAAAGGGAGTCACAACAGAAAACGGCTCATTCTTGTGTTGCCACTGTCCAGAATTCTCATGGAAGGGGGCACACGAAGAACGGCCTCAGATGATGAGTGCAGGGTCAAAGTTGGTTCGTATGTTGGTAGTCCTCTCACATCTGAGGGTGTATACACTGTGGTATTTTATGTTTTATTAAATACGCTGCCACTGTAAACTTGAAGTTAATGTTTTAGACAACTTGAGTAGCCATCCACTGAGATGTGTTGTGTTGTCAAGGCGAAACGCAATCTTTCATGCTGTACCTGCTCACTTTAAATGGAGTAAAAAATAAATACAGTCATACCTCGGGATAAATGCGCTTCAGGTTGAGCGCTTTCAGGTTGCGCTCTGTGGCGACCCAGAAGTAACGGAGCGCATTACTTCTGGGTTTCGCCGCTCGCGAATGCTCAGGTGGTCAAAATGACGTCATGCGCAGAAGCGGTGAAACGCAGCCAACGCATGCACAGTTGCACTGTCGCGTCTTACGTTCCATTCAGGATGCAAACGGGGCTCTGGAACGGATCCTGTTCGCATCCCGAGGTACCACTGTAAATTGTTTGTGTATTTTGTGCCCAGGGTCTCCAATTCATTGAAGGTGAAGTGCTAGAATTCTAATGCAACATAATTCTAGTCCATTGCACTGATGGCAACAGGATTAGAATCAACTGTGATTTTTGTATTTGTGTCTACTGTAGAATACCACACATGTATTTTGCACTCTAAGATTTTTAAAAAGTGACCACTTTTTGGCATATGACAACTTACAGATCATCTGTGCAAAATCCATGCTGTGTTAGAATTTTCCTGATGGGACCTTAAATAAGTCTGTTTCCGAGCCTGAACTAAAAACAACAAAACCTGAAGTATTGTCTTGTGGATTCACCTGCATGCACACCAGAAGATTGAAATAGAAGTATACATGAAGACCAGGAAACAAACAGTCAAAAATCATCTGAAAAGAAAAGGATACTTAGCTCAATCACATTTTGTTGGAAAAGAGACTTTGGCTGGATTTTCTGGCAAGATAACTTTTATTTTAGATTTAGGCGATGAAGAGATAAAGTTTTCTAAAACAGGGAATTTAATTCTGTTTCTTGTTTTTAATTTGTCATGTGACCCCATTCTCTGGCAAAGGGCATAGGAAGCTCTTAAATAATCCTTTGAGCCATCACATAGTGCTTCTCCGGAGCTCAATCTATTTTGTTAATCCAAAGCATGGCTATGAGGTGAATGGCTGTATAGTTTAAACATTCCTACAGGGTGAACCATAAAAGGCAGGGGTTAAAATCTGTAATATATTAATTTCTTCTTCTTTTTTTAAGCCTCGTGGGCTGTAGTCCAACTCACACTAACTTTGGATTCACTTAACAGGGCTTACTTCTGAGAGGACATGTGCAGAGTTCTGGTGTTAATGTAGTTGTTAAAGATAGAAGAAGATGAAACCTGAACAACTCCAGGAGTTAAAGTGAAACATTTACATAATGTGTATAATTAATTAGTGCTTCAGTATCTTAATTCATTTTGCTATTGTCAGTACCATTTACCTCGAAGGAGTTGGTGGTGTGCCCCCTGATCAGGAAGACCTCCCTGGATCCAGAAGTGTTAAACATCTATTGCCCAGTGGACAAGGTGGCAGTCCAGCTTCAGACAAGTTAGCTTCAATCATGGCACTGAAACTGCCTTGGAGATTTGGGAGGGGGCAGTGTGACCCTGCTCATTCTCCTCATTGATTTTTGATACTGTTGACCATGGTATCCTTTTGGAGCATCTCAGGGGGTTGTAGGTCAGTGGTTCCCCTCCTACCTCCAGGGCTGTTTCCATAAAGTAGCTATAGAATGCTAGTATTCAGTGCCATTGGAGTTGTCCTGTGGTGTCCCCCATGCTATTTAACACCTATAGGAAGCCTCTGGGAGCTGTCACTATGAGACTTGGAGTGAAGTGTCATCAATATGCAGATGATCCCCAGCTCTGTCTCTCTGCTTCAAATGAATCAGGAGAACCAGCTGAGGTGTTGGACCAGCGCTTGGAAGCAGGGGTGGGTTGGATGTAGACCAATAAACTGAATCCTGAAAAGACATAGGTGTTATGTGTCCCAAATTCTCATGTCTAGGAAGCGGAGAAAGGGCCTGCCTGGGATGGGATTGCATTCAGATGGAAGGGGCAGATTCACAGTTTTGGAGGGTTCTTGGATTCAACAGTCACTGGAGACTCAGGTAGTCTCAGTGGCTAGGAATGAATTTTTTTCAGCTTCAGAAGGTTGGTCAGCAGTGGCCCCTGCTGGACGGAGATGACCTGGGCAATGTATTCCATGCTCTGGCAACTTTCAGATTGGATTAGTCACAGGGGTCAGCAAACTTTTTCAGCAGGGGGCAGGTCCACTATCCCTCAGACCTTGTTGGGGGCCACACTATATTTTGAAGGGGGGGAAATGAACTAATTCCTATGCCCCACAAATAACCCAGAGATGCATTTTAAATATAAGGACACATTCTACTCATGTAAAAACATGCTGATTCCTGAACCATCCATGGGCCAGATTTAGAAGGTGATTGGGCCAGATCTGGCCCCTGGGCCTTAGTTTGCCTACCCATGAATTAGTGTAATACATACTACATGGGGCTGCCTTAGAGATGACTTAGGACCTTCTATTGGACCAAACTTCAGCAGCCAGATTGGTGTCTGGGGTTCCCTTCAGATTTCATATACCCCCTGTTTTAAAACAGCTGCACTGGGTACCAGTTGATTTCTGGGCCCAATTTCTGGTGCTCACATTAAAGCCCTAAATGATTCAGGCTGCAAATACCTGAAAGACACCCTGAGAAGACATCCTTTGAGCTTTTTCTTTTTGTATTACATCTGTCTTTAACTTTCTGGTGTGAAATTCCAATTCTTCATTATTTAGGAAGTCAGAATAGATGCTGAAAATTATAATTGATTCAGAAATTTCTGCACCAAAGCACTTTGATGACCATGTACATAGGGCAAGATACAGCAAAACTGTTGCATGTGCGAAATGAGATCTGCTTGTGCAATGGGACGTTCCCTCCTTCTCCTTCCTCTGTGCCCTCTAAACCCAGAACAGGTTTAGGGTATGTGTAGGAGGAGCTAGTATTCCTGTTGAACAAGTAGAACTTGTTCCCTGCATGCATGTCCCACAACAGAGACAGCTACAACTTACCACTTTCTGAAGCAGTTACTACTAGATTTGGGCAGGCAGGTGGGTGGCAGATTACAGAACAGATTTGGAAATTGCTTCGTTTGTACATGTCTGTTTTATGGTTGTATTTTCTTTCATTCATAAGTATCAGCATGTCTGTTGCTGAATAGAATGAAGGACTAGGCCTTCATATATGAGCATTGCCCTTATTCCTTATTAGGAGTGCTACTATAAAGGCAGATGGGACTCATCAGCCTGAGATGGTAGCCCATCTAGAAGAAAGAAAACTCTGATCCTAAACCTCCGCTGCCTTGCAGGATATCTTTGAGAGAAGAAAGTCTAGGGAGTAAACCCTACACAAATCCAGAGTGGAGTCCCTAAGACAGTTGGATGGTGCCTTGTACATCTCCTTCTCACAACTGCTGCAGCCAGGCTGGTGCCAAATGTATTTCTCTACTTTCCTTTGGACCACATCAGCAAAGCCAAGAGGTGGGCCTTGTCATCTGGGGAGCTCAGGACCTACATACATACTGCCCAGGCTTGTGTCCTGGGGATGTCACTTCAGTGCTGGAAATGCAGCAGTTTGACTGCATCCTCGGAGGCACACTCCATTTTCTCTTGAGACAGGTGGATGCCAACAACTGTAGAATCATTGCCCAGAGTTATGCTTAGAGTTCCATTCACCTTTACAGGAATTCTGAGGACCACTTCCTATAGCAGGTGCCTCTTCTCTGCTTTGTAAAAGCTCACTAGAGAAGTTGCTCTGCTGTTATGAGAAGAGCTCAAGCAAGTACAAGGTCATGAACAGAAAGCTTTGGGTACACAAAGATTTAGGTTCTTAGTTTCCTGATGGTCATATTATAAGATGCCAAGTGTTGTCCCAGAACATAAAATCCAGTAGGGTTTTAAAAAAACAAAACAAACAAAAACAAAATAGAGTTTCATAGGAAAATCAACAGATCCTGCAAATTAATAATGTGAAATGTATTTTGCCTACTCCAAACATTGTAGCTTCTGAACATAAACTAAGTTACTTTTCCTTAAAAAACATACAAACCCTAAGGATATATTGTGTCGAATAGTTGACAGACAGACTCTGCACTTGAAAGCAAACATAGACTATAAAATTAATGGTTTTGTTTTAATTTAAATTTCAGCTGCCCCAAGACAGTGTATTGAGTTACACTTTGATGAAAAATATTCCATAGAGCCTTCGTGGGAGTGTAAATTTGATCATATTGAAGTGCGGGATGGACCTTTTGGATTTTCCCCAATAATTGGTCGTTTCTGTGGACAACAAAACCCACCTAAAATAAAATCCAGTGGTAGATTCCTGTGGATTAAATTTTTTGCTGATGGTGAACTTGAATCTTTGGGATTTTCTGCACGATACAATTTTACACCTGGTGAGTATAACCTCTAATTATTTTGGAGGAAATATTTTGGTATTTATACTGAGTGGAATTTGGTGATATAATGACATAGCATGGTTTTAATATTAAGGCTGTGGCTGTATTCAGACATAACATAAAGTCATGGTTTGCTCAGGAAACTGTGAACTATCTCACAAACAAGCAAACAAGCCATGGGTTGTTTCTCCAAAGCTTAGTTTGTTTTCCAGTTGGTCTTGTACAAGTACTTTTGTACCTTGGCAAGTGTTTGGGGTGCGGTGGCCAAACCATGATTGAAAAAGGCTGTTGTGTTTATGCATAATGCCAAACCATAGTTTAAAACAAGTGATGATTCATAAACTAAGAAGAAACCACAACCTCACTTGTAGCTTGTTGGTAAAAAAGAGACTGTGGTCACTTTGTTGGGTGCACTTTCAAACAAACCACACTTGGGCTAACAGTGTGTGCATTGGCCAACCAATTGGGCAAAGTTGAAAGATATAACTTAAACAGATAGTTTTAATGGAAATAGAAATATGTGTGTTCTCCTTTCCTTTTTAAAAAACAGAAAACAGCACTTTTTCTGAATTTATTCTTGGCTTTCTACAGTGCATTTTTTAATACACACCATTTCTGTTTATTGCTATAGAGTGGCTTATAATGGTTGAAAAAGCTGTAATCATCTTCCTTGAATGATGAAAATTTTGGATAATGTAACTATATTTTTCATGCAGGGAATATTATGATCACACAATAGCTAAGTTGGTTCAAACTTTTCACCACATGTTGGCTCTCGCCATAATAGCATCTTTATTGTGTGCAAGAAGGATGGAAGTTGCACACAATAAGCTTAGTCACTTGGTGAACAGATTATTGTTAGGCTTATTAGAGTTTACCTAATGCCTTTATGCTGTTGATAGTAGAATAAGTGCACTAATGCACTCCATACAACAAAAGTGGAAATATGTCATTAGTTTGTTTTAAAATGATTTCAACAGAATAGCATTTGAACATTACTAGTAAAAATATTTTGTATTGCTACTTATGCTGTTCCTATTTCCTTTGAACATTGCCTTTTATAAAGGCAGAATCTGCTGGAGTAATTTCCCCCTTTCTGTCTATTAAAGTAAAATGTTTTGCCAAAGGATTCTGAGATCCAAAGAATAGCATGCATTCAATTAAGTGCCTCCATGAAAGATTTTCCTAATCTTAATTGCTGTGGTCCAATTATGCCTTTTGTCAAATCATCTGGTTTAATTTGTGAGGCTAAAATGGAGATTTGCAGTCAAGTTTAGTACTGAAGTATTTCCCCATCTCATTATATATATTTTAAAGTTTATTTTAATTTGTGCACTGCAATCAGACTGCAGTGCAGCAACTTTCAAAGGACTGAATGGCATTCCGTAGGTTTATGGAGGAATAAGTGGGAATTTATGGAGGTTTTGTAGATTTATGGAGGAATATTGTTTGTTCTGAGAGGGATATGCTTTTGATCATTTATGCTATTTTATAAGTTCTTTTAGTTATTTAATCTATAGCACCTGCCACAAATACCAGGTCTGCACTTAGGTATTTTTCAACTGTCCACACATGACTAGGATGTTTAAGGGTACCTAATTTATTAGGGTGTTAAAAGATACCTAATCTTAATTATGTATCATTACTTGACTGAGCACCAGTCATTTAGACCTTTCAAGTACCTTTCTTATTAATCAGTCCAACAACCTGCATCTCAGCAGGGATCGAAAAGGACCTCATAGCAATAGTAAATAGTGGCAATTGAATGTGCCTCTGCATTGGCACATTGAAGACTCCCTGGAGAAGACACTGATGCTGGGAAAGATGGAGGGCACAAGGAGAAGGGGGCGACAGAGGACGAGATGGTTGGATAGTGTTTTCGAGGTTACCAGCATGAGTTTGACCAAACTGCGGGAGGTAGTGGAAGACAGAGGTGCCTGGCGTGCTCTGGTCCATGGGGTCACGAAGAGTCGGACACGACTAAACGACTAAACAACAACAACAACAACTGCATTGGCACTACAGGTTGCCAAATCCAGCTGCATCTAAGACAACTCTGTTTAGCACTCCAGTCTGGCAGCCTCCATCAAAAAAGTGTGTCCAGTTTTTGCGCACAAGTGAATTCAGAGTCGAGAAATTCATAAGAGGAACTAGAAAGCTTCCCCACGTTATGAGTTGGGTCCATATTATTCTGAAATTGGATGCAGTTCATAATGTGGCTTGTCCACACTGCTAGCCGACTCTGCCCCATAGAGTTGCCATATTTTGAAAAGCAAAAAAGAGGGCACATTTGCCAACTTCTACTTTTAACTATGGGTCACTGTGGCAACTCTCATGTTACATACCCATGAAAAAGAGGACATGTCCTGGAAAAAAGAGGGCATATGGCAACCCTGTGGGGAATTATCACTGAGAAGGGTGAGGTGCTATTGGTGGTAAGGAAGAGTTGATAGAGACAAAATAGTAGACCTTGATTGGCAAAGATGCTTACAACATGCTCAGGAACAACCTTTCCTTCCAGGGATCATGGGACTGTATAGTACAAATCCTATTTCCCTGTCTTATTTGTCGCCAGAAAGAACTCTTTTATACCTACCAAGCACTCCCTACACCGTCAGTTACCACCTCCTTCTCAAGGGCAACTGTCTCCCCACTAACCTTGAGGCAGAAGCATGAAGTAGGAAGAATACCTAATAATGGGATGGATCAAAGATTGGGTTGAACAGGAGCAGTTCTACACTGTTTTGAAGGCATGCATACCAGCTGTGGTAGATCAAACTCTTCATATGGTGCACAAGAACCATAGCCACTGAGTATGGGTGGAAAGTAGATCCAGCTGTAGTCAGTAACTAGGTGGGGCAACACATTTGTTTTTATTTGTTTCCAAGTGAGGAAGTTGAAACTAAAAGTCAACATATAAGTAGCAGGAGCATAGAAACAAAATTATGGGAGTCCTCGTGATTATGGGACTCCTCATGTTTATAAAGGTGTGTAGTATGAATGCACACAGTAATATTTGATTAAAGCAGCCTGAGTCCCAGCAATAGCAATTGGATGCATCACGGAGCAGAAGATTAATTGTAAATGCTTTAAGTCAGCCTATGACTTAAACTTCTGCATTTTGGGCAAGTGTTTTCGTTCAGTCTTTTGCATTTTTCCATTTCTAGGTTCTGTATAAGTTTCTCCTTAAATCCCCAGATAGTAGTGATCTGCCTGCAATTACAATTTAAATGCTTATATATTCTTAAAAATGGTTTCAGGGACTATCTGCTGAATTGTCTCTCTGGATGTGAACTTTATTTTGGCTTACACAGCACAAGTAAATGATCTCTTTATACAAGTAGTTAGTTCTTCCACGATAGCTACTTGCCAGCACTTTATGTACAAAAAAGGAACTGCAAGAAAGAACTAGTGATTGATCCAAATATTATTGGAGCACAGCTCAGAAGGTGCATATAGGTAGACTTGCATGCTCACTTCAATATGAAGCAAGCATTTCAACCCTGAGCATTCTTTTTCAGCCCTCGTTTAAATCTTGAACAGAGAGGAATTTAAACTGTCGCTGCCTTCCTCCTGTACAATCACACACAACCCCCGCTCTTGCTTTTGCTGTTCTGACATCAGAGAAAGTGAAGGGGAATCAGTCTCTCTCCTCCTTTCTAATACATTGCCATGCTGTAATGGCTGTGTGCCACATGCAGAGAGTGCTGAGAAATCAGTAGTGGTGCAGAGCTGCCCTCTTGACATTGGAGTGACAAGGTCATGAGTATGTGGTTGCACCAGTGGGACCATTGCCACTCGTGTACCCAGATGGTGCACCTTTTCCGTCACCTACCCTGTCCAGGTAAGCAGCAGGGACACCAATATTGGGAATGTGGCTGAATGGCTACGGAGCTACTGTGAGAAATTATGCATATCAATAACACTCGAAAAACCTTGTTGCCAGGAATTAATTTAATTTGGCATGCAGCCACGGGAACAGGAACGGGGGCAGGGAGGATAGACTTCCCTCCTTCCTCTTACCATTGCTACCAAAGCAAATTAAAGATCAGTGAAAATGAGAAAGGACTTGGTAGAAGGCAAGTAAGCAAATGGGTGGGTGAGCGGGCTGCTGGATGTTCAGCATTAGGGATCACCCCACTGTGTTTAGTTACATAATTGTGGGCACAACGGATTCTGAAATAGACTTGGGATATGATGTGAAACAACTGGTATATTTTGGGTGAAGCCATTTAATTTTTAAGCCAAATTCTGTCTTTGATTAGATCACTAGAAAGAACTAAGGAGCTTCACCTAAGGCAGGAGTGGGTAACCTGTGATTCTCCAGTTGCTGGACTGCAAGTCAGCCACAGCCAATATGGCCCAGGTGTGCTGCAGGTGTGCCTAGAGGAAGCAGTAATCTGGACCCATTCCAGTCATCTTTCAAGTTTGGTTTTAGCACTGAAGCAACCTGGGTCACCCTGATTAATGACCTTTGTTGGGGAAGATATAGGGTATATGGTTCTCCTTGACCTCTCATCATGTTTTGACACCATTAACCATGGTATCCTTCTGGAGTGACTCAGGGACATAGGAATTGCAGGCACTGTATTATAGTAATTTTGCTCCAACTTGCAGGGTCAGCACCACAAAGTAGTATGAGATGGTTGCTTAGTTCCATGGCTTTCACACTGTGGGACACCACAAGGTCAATTCTGTCTGTATGCTAGTCACCATCTACATGAAATTGTTGGGACTTATCATCCAGTAATTTGGAGCATGGTGTCATTAATATGCTGATGACACACATCTCTCTCTGTCTGAATCAGGAAAGGCTGTGAAAATATTGAATTGGTGTGTGTGGGTGGTTTCTATGTCTGGGAATTAGGTGGATGACATGTTCTGGGATGGGTTGTATTCCACCTGACAGAATAGGTTCATGGTCTGGGAGTCCTGGATTCCAAGTTGCCACTTGGCTTCTTTGACTAGGGGTGCTTATGCCCAGCTTAGGCTACTTT